CTTAATAGATGGGCACTCCTTGGGGAAATCATCACAGCTCAGGTGGAAATCCCTAACAACACAGAACTGAGCAGGTTCTCCAACAGAGAGAGTAATAGCCTGAACTGTGGATTCACCATGAAGTAGACGCTACATCCATTCAGGCTCAAGAGTATTTGTCTCAGGCCCTTGGAGCACTCTTGGTACCTTCTATTAACAAGTTTGGAAAAACAAATCTGTAAATCTGATGTTTGCAACATGAGGTCAGAATTACAGAGGTTAACAAGGAGACTTGGAATGAGCACAAACTGCAGAATTCTTCTGCATTCTTCCTGTGCCACACCGAGCACAAGAATTTGCTTGTGATAATAATCTACCAGCCAGAAATTTCACACAAACAGGGCTAAACACTGTTAATAAGTCACGAAAGCCATCACCCCAGTCAGGGCATTTTGTAATAAACTGAGTGCCTGGCATACCCTCTAGGTTACTGTTTAAAATGTCTCACTCACACACTCACATAAGTTAAGTTTTATGATGGGCTTTTTTCTGGATAGTCCATGCCGTCTATTGTGGGCAATGTTGAATACGTTCGACTTCCAAAGGGTCCCTTTCTTCTTTTTAAAGCTCTAAATTTCATGACACTCTCTTTGGAACATTAGCGCCTTTTCATAGCAATCCTAGAGAAAAGCCTCCCTTTGGAGACAAAACATGGAGCGATCACGATGAATACAAAAGTTATTTTTAAAGAGTATCAATACAATACTTGATGAGGAGTTATTAATTAAGCCATGATTACTAAACATGATAAGGACATGCATTAGGTGGTGGTTGGGTGGTGTCTTAGGGTTTCTATTCCTGCACAAACATCATGACCAAGAAGCAAGTTGGGGAGGAAAGGGTTTATTTAGCTTACACTTCCACATTGCTGTTCATCACCAAAGGAAGTCAGGACTGGAACTCAAGCAGGTCAGGAAGCAGGAGCTGATGCAGAGGCCAAGGAGTGATGTTACTTACTGGCTTGCTTTCCCTGGCTTGCTCAGTTTGCTTTTTCATAGAACCTAAGACTATCAGCCCAGGGATGGCACCACCCACAAGGGGCCCTCTCTCCTTGATCACTAATTGCCTTACAGCTAGATCTCATGGCGGCATTTCCTAAGCTGAGGCTCCTTCCTCTCTGATGATTCTAGCTTATGTCAAGCTGACACACAAAACCAGCCAGTACCTCTCCATACACAAGCTCCAATATATCAAAATTTTAATATTTGTGAAAAACTCACTTAATATAGCCAATTTGAAAAGTGTTCATTAGAAACACCAGGTGTTTGGGCGTCAACTGCAATTCTTTCATTTATTCGGTTTCGTGTTTTATATTTCTCTTCTTGTTCCATTAAGAATGAGTCATCTAAAATAATGCCATTCAATAAAATACAAGAAATATAATTAGATGAGAATCAGAATCAAGAGAAACAGGGTAAAACAGAAGCTAACAGGAAAAAGAGGGAAAGTTAGAAGACTAATAATACTAATCATATGTTTTTTCACATTGTCATTAGAATTTAAGTTGCAAATCTGCCTCGAACTAGTCACCAAGACAGAAAGAGGAACATCTGGTTCTCTATTTGCATAATGGCAATAATACATATTGATTGTTTAGGGGATGGATGGCTTTGGCACCCAGAGCTCAATGGAATGCTCTGCATGGACTTTAATCAGGAGCTGTTGTAAGAACTCTTCCCTTGGTCCCTCTATAAAGTGATCTAGCAGTAGTTTCTTTTCCACAGTCTACTACGTAAATCATTTCCAGTGCAAACAATGGAGGAGATGTCAAGCAGCCAAGAATGCCGAACAAGGAAACCAAGACGCCGCACAGTTTGGAAAGCTCTAGCTAGACTCTCTCTGGTCTAAATAAGAGGAAGACAGGTAGATGTCAAGGCCTTTGTTCAACTGAACCTCTAGAAACCGTTCTTATCAATTAATCGTATCAAATTTATAGACAACCCATATTCTCTTGTGTGTGCAGAAACAAATCCATTTTGTGTACCCAGTGAGGAGGACAACTTTTTCCTTCAACCATGGACTCCCTGTATTCGAAAAGGAAGATTATCCAAATTTACTTCCGTGTGTTTTCCCCATAATACTAATAATCTTGATTCTAGTTATGCGTGAGTTGAGGATTCTGTTTAATTTAAACAGAATATTAGGCGGTGAGAGTTAGAAAACACACATTTAACAAAGAACAGTTTCTAAAATGACAGACACCAGGAGGAAAATGCAGAAAGACTAGATGCAGAAATACAGGCTTAGCATAGCACTACTGTGGTACATGAGGAGGCAGGGCTGTAGCTGGCTCTGGAGGCAAGACTCAACATATGAGTCATCACATCCTAAAGATGCTACACTTCCATTCAGGACACAGCAGACTTTTTTTTTTTTTTTTAATTAGAAGCTGCCTCCTTCTATAACGAGGAAAAAGCTCTCATTTGGTTGACTAATTTCAGAACACACAAGTCATAGAACATTGCTACAGTTCTCAATTTCTACATGTTAAACAAACAAGTAACTGTCCAGAAGTTAAAAGTAAAATGTTTGTAGGAGTTGGTGGTGGGGATGGGGGAACTATAGCTCAGTTGTCAAGACGCTGGCAGAGAACCTGTGTTTAATCCCAAACTCTTACATACTGCCTCACCACAGTTTAGAACTCCAGTCCCAGGAGATCTGATGCCCTCTTCTGCCCTTCACAGGCACTGCATGCACATGGTGCACAGACTCATCTGCAGGCAAGACCCACACATATATAAAAACAACACCAATGAATTACTCAATACCCTTAATGATAAGTAAGATTCTAAAAATGCCCTTATCGTTATTGGGCATGGCAACCTGCTTTGTTTTCATGTATTATAACAAATTGGTTTAATCACACCTTCTCTTCCCACAATATCCTCCAGTCTTCCTACCTTTTACCTACAAGTTTTTCTTCACTCATCTGAAACAATCCAACTAGATTAGAGAAGAAATAGTACTATATTATGATTTACCAGAGTGTGTGAAAATAAGGATTGTGGGTAATATTCTGGGTAGTGAAGAAGAAGATGCATGAACATTGGGGGAGGGAGGAAGGGAAGAAAATGAGGTGTTCCCTGATAAACACATGTGCTAAGGAGAGAGTGACAATAAGCTAATGATGACTTATTACATTATGTGACAGGAAAACAAATGTTAAAACACAAACCTTCACAACGTAAATGGAAAGCAAACAGTTGTCTTTGCATCGAGTTTGGACTTTTCTGTGGATTTTTGTATGTATGTATGGTTTTTGTTTTGTTTCTCTTTTTCTCCTAAACATTTTTAGGCAGAAAAGGTACTGGATCATCCAAAAACCTCAGTTTATAAAGGAAAATAGCTAAAATGTTGTTTCTAAGGCTTAGCATGCTGCTCAAACAGGATCTGGTCCCTAGCATCAAAAATAAATAAATAAATAAATAAATAAATAAATAAATAAATCTGTATCTATACGATATGTGTGAGGTCACTTTGGAACTATAGACATTTTTAAATGTTCTGTTTTTATCTTTAGCTTTAACCACACATATATAATAAGCCACAGCTCAACTTTAAAACAGGTTACCTGTCACTTATTAACCAGATCACTGTTCCTTCTGAAATAACTTAAGAATTTTCTTTAAACATAAATTCTGCCTTCTAAATTGTTTTCGAAAGTGAAATTGAAACGGTATCAATCGCTATAAGTGGGCACGAAGTGCACCTAAACAGACAACTACCTTCCTTGCTGCTGACGACAGAAATGTCAATGAAAAATAGCCAAGTTCGCCTGTTTATAGAAAGAAGCGATTTTTAAAAATACAGTTAATAGCACTAGCAATAACAACAAACATACACTATAATTTTAAATGGTTGGGTTATATACAACATATACCTTGAAATACAATTTCATTCATTCAACAAATAACCAATAAACAGCTATAGGGCATTCAATACTAACAAATTACAGCATGGGAAGAGGAGGGGGAGGAGGAACTGGTAATGATGGTGATTCTGTCCTCTTAGTAGTTATATTGATTCAGTTTGCCAAAATCGCTAATTTGAAATAGCACTTACAAAATTGGAGCTTACAATGGTCCATTTTTTTTTCAAAATTCTAAACCTTATTGCTTAACGCAAAATCCAAAACGGCAGCCTGAGAGGAAACAATTTTACTAAAAAGCCCCAATGTATGAATTTTACTTCAAGAAGAGGGAAAAAAAGACTCAACTCTCAGAAAGGTAAGGGTCAGCTCAGAGTTGGAAGTGGGGCTAGAGACAAGGCTGCCTCTGCCGGCTAACAGGCGCATCTTTCATAGTCTCAACTCCCGACACCTGTATCAAACTTGCAGCTCTCAAACCCATCGGCTCCCTCCAGCTTTATCCTAAGAGAACACGCCAGCCTCATCCATCACCTAGGTAATCTTATTTCTAGAAAGACTTTCCTTAAACTGGCACCCAAAATGTTAAAGTGTTTTTATCTTTGACTTTATATATTACTCGGCTAGCTGTAAATTACACAAAAATCCACAACCACTCCTAAATGCCTCTAAAACAACAACCGTGGTCGTCTACATTTTAGCAAAAGGGACAGGAAGAACGCTTTTGCTGATCCTGCTTTTTAAAAATGCAAAGACACGGTCTACTTGAGCTCGTGAAAAAAGCAACAGTCTCCTCCTCGCAAAGAAGCCCCGCGCCAACCTATTCTTCTGAGCTCCCCCAGCCCCCAATCGAGGGGCCCCAGATCGTTGGCCAGGAGGGTCCAGCGCCCCTGCGCCCGGGCTCGGCCTCGAACGTTCCAAGCAGAGCGTTTCGGGTCCCCCGGGGGCTGCGCCCAGCGCCATTAGCACACCTCCGAGCGCTGGCAGCCCCGGGGAGAGGCAAGTTTGGCTGCTGCTGGCCGCGGCTCCGGTTCTTCCTGGCCGCAGCATCAGCAGCCGGTAGCCTCCACGGCCTGGCCCCGCCTCGGTCACCTACCTACTGGGCGGGGGCGCGGGCTCCGCAGGTCGGGGCGAAGTGGCTCAGGCGCTCGCATTTCTGGGAGCCATGGCCTCTGCCGCTTGGCGCTGGGGAGCGCATCCTCCGGGATGGGAGGAGGGAGAGGACGGAGGCGGGTGGGGGAGAGGATCGCCCGGCGAGGAGGAGCCAAGGCAGGCTGCAGGAGCCGCGGGGTGCGCTCCTGAGAGGTTCCGGAGTGCCGATCTGGCCCGAGCAGCCGCCGCCGGGATGCTCGAGGCCTCGCCCAGGTGCCTGCAGCGGCACCCACGGTCAGGGCACCGGGCGCGCACGGGGCGGAAGGCGGGGAGCTGCGGTGGCGCGACGCCCGCCCGGCGCCCGCCTCTAGCTCCGCCCGAGCTGGGGCGTGCGCTGCGCTCGTCTGCTGCGGCAGGGACTCGGGAGCTCAGCGGCCCGCCTTAGCGGTTCGGGCTGCAGCTGCGGCATCTTGCCTCCCCGGTGCGACCTCGGAGCCGCAGGCTGGAAGCCCGGTGGTGGCTCCGGCCCCCAACCCTGGGCCCAGAGGCTCCGCCCCAGAGAGCTGCGCGCGCGGCCTCCGCAGGCCCCGGCCCTTTGTGACGCTGCCCCGGGGCGACGGTCAGGCTGTCTGTGAACCGGGAACGGTCTGCTTACCTGGCCCCTAATCTCATCCCTTCTAGCTGGCTACTGGTTGGATCTCGAAGGGAAGTTAGCGCTTATGGGCACAGCTGGAATGGAGTCTTAAAGTCCCCTTTCTTTCCCTTCCAGCTCTAGGACCATAAATTCATCCTCTGTCTTTTCCGGCAAAGAAAAAAAAAAAACAATTGCCTTTGGCAAAGGGGCCCACCTTCCCCCTCTCCTGTCCCCGATACAACATTCAATAAGCTGACGAACTGTAATCGTTATAGCCCAGGCAATGCAATGTAGCAGTTGAGCAGTCCAGGCAGCTTTTGGCTGAGGTTGGAGAGCAGCTCAGTGGGAAGGTTTTTCCATGAGCTCAGGGGCCTGTGCCTGTGAGCTTCCAACCGGTATTGGATGCTATCACTGCAGGATGACTTGGAAGATCTGATCGTGGAGATCACTCTTAAATACGGGAAGAAAAAAAAAATGTGTGTGTGTGCATGACTGGTATGGTCCAAGCCATCAACACACAGTACACAGAGGCCTCCCAGGTTGCTGCTGTTTCTTGGTACTGCCAGTCTCTGGAGGGTGGGGCAAAACACTGAACAGTCGTGACTTTGAGATTTCAGCAGCAGGTGATGTTACATGGCCATGCAAATATGGAATTACTTCCTGGTTTTGCACTGACCACCTGTAAATTCTGACATCAGGTTTACATATTTATGCTTTGAGTAGGAGAGACTTCTTTCCGTGTTCTTTAGACACCTTTTGGTAAATGATCTAGCCTTTAGCTAAATGGTCTCCTAAAATATAAAGACATGATTCTATTTGTATCAGAAGAAGAACAGGGCTTGAAGTCCCCAGAAAAATGGTGACGTTCTCACAATTCTTTGATAAGTGCTTTTATGATTTTGAAATCTAAGATGAATAAAAAATAAATCTGAGAAAACACACACACACTGAAAGGTGACATAGCCCTGTAATCCCAGCTCTTGGGAGGCAGAGTTAGGAAGATAAGGAGTTCAAGGCCAACCTCAACTACTAACCTAGGCTATATGACACCCTGTTTCAAAAAGTAAAATAAAAATTTTTAAAGAAAGGAAAAATCATGTCAAGTCCAAGTTTCGATGATAAGGTAGCTAAGCTTTTTGCAGGGAGACGGGTATCACCTAGGAGGTCAGGGTGGAACAGTGTCTGAGCTGTATTGTTGAGTGGGCCGAGAGGCACATGTTCTGAGAATGTTCTGAGAGTGTTCTGAGAATGGCGATGAATCTCAAGCTCCAATTCAGAATGACCTAGTTCCGGGAAGGAAGACATACATAGTGCTGTTATGAAAAACATCTTGAAATCACTCAGGACAAGAGCTTTGCTATTTGCTTAACGAAGTGCATCAGCCTTGAGTGCAGGCTCTGCAGGAACTATTCACTGAGCTGCAAGTACTATTTCTCAGCCTTTAACTCCATCAGCACTCTTTTGTGCCTGTGAACCCAAGGTTCTGTCCAGAAATAAAATAAGCCCTGATTTCTTTTCTCTTAGGCAAAAGTATAACTGAGTATGTGTTTAAAGTGGTGTCTTGCCGATGGAGTGAATGATCCTGAGCTTTTCCAAAGCAATGGCAAATGATGTCACTGTCTTCATTAGCTCTCCTGGGATTACATGATGGATCACATACTAATTACAACTTGTCACTACAGTGAAAGGCTGAACAGAATAGGGAGTTGTGCTCCCATGGTTGGGGGTGGGGTGCTTCTAGTTTAAAGATTCTTTGGTCATTCTTTTTTGTTACTGAGGATTGACTGATTCACCTGAGTCATGTCTTCACACAGAAATCAGAATTAACATTATCTACGTCTGTCTTATCCTGTATAGTACCCATCAGTCAAATGTGATCATTCAAACGTAATGAAATACAGTTGTTATGATTTTCAGTCTGTTACTCATACATTAAACTCTAAAGAGTCAAATAAAACCTCTGGACAACTCGGGACACAACATTTTCTTATTACAGGAAATTCTTCTGGAATGCTTGCCAGATTTCAATGGGTAGAGAAGAGATACAGAAAGAATTGGGAGTAATTTGGGTGCAGCTAGATAAAATACTGTTAGAATATATTCTTAAGGACATGAGAGTCCTTAAGAATTCACAGATTGCCTTTGGACTACAAGCTTCAACGTGTGCTGGCCTTGGATAAATTTCTAACTCTCCGAAGCTTTTATCTTCAAAGGTGGGATGATGGCAGCACCATCTTCATAGTGTAGATATAGGGAATGAAGTAATTCACAAAGAGTATATAGAGTGTAGAATGAGTAATCAATAGAGGTCAGCTATTATTATAATAGCATATGTTAGGGTCATAATGGTTTTCTTTTAAAAAATGTATCCTTGAACTGGGCACTATGGTCCATTTCTGTAATGCCAGCATTTAGGGAGGTAGAGACAGGAGGATTGCCCGTCTCAGGCCAGCCTGTGCTACATAGCAAAATCCTATCTCTAATTAGTAAAGTAATTAAACAAAACAGTCTCCATAGCATCTCTCACTGTACCTGGCTAGTGGGAAGTGCTTGGTAAGTGATGCCCTGTTGAGGCTTGAAGCCTGTGGTAAATATGAAGACTAGCTCTTCTTCCTCAGATAAAGGGGACAAGTCAGGGTGCAGCAGTTTAAGTGCACTAGACATGTTCTTTCTTCTGTGGCAAATAATCCGTATATACTGAGACTTTACATAGAAAGAGAGGTGGGGATTGCTTTGAGCAGAAAAGAGAGAAGGGAGTAGTGAATCACTTCATTTGCTCTGGTCTTCTTGTCTTCATGAAGTGCGAACTAAGCCAGTGGGAGGCACCTGGATCTCTGTGTTCTTCAGAGTAATTTTCTAGAGGGCTTGGGTGTGCTTAGAGAGCATCAGTGACAGTATACAAATAGTATCGTTTTTACTTGTCCAGAGATAATTCTGCACTGAAGAATATGGCTAGTGTTTGTTTTAAAATGCAGTATTGGCCATGTCTCATGGAACTGGAATTTTAAGAATATTGGTAAATATGGCTCTTAACCATTTGCTGATAAAGGTCCCTGATTAAGTAATGAGCTTAGGAGTCTGGGAAGATGGGTCAGTTAGTAGTGTTTGTTATACAACCCGAGTCAACTCCTCGGTGCTCACAGAAAAGCTAGGGGGCTCAAATAATAAGGTGGATCATAATATAGGGATATACCAGGAGTCCTCCTCTGCCCTACACACACACACACACACACACACACACACACACACACACACACA